TTTTAATGATCCATTTCCGTTTGCCTAATTGTAAGCCAAATACTATAGGTAATCTGATATATGTCAGTGCGTAGCTCGGCAGGCCCAATAAAAAACAAAAGTGAACTGAAAAGCAGTCATCAACGTCAATGCACTTGATTGACTGATTGTTGCACGACTTAGTACCAGGTGGGGAGTGTGAAAATTATTGTTGACGTGACGAGTCTGCCTCAGATCTGATTAGTATTCCCAGAGAATTTACGGAAAAACCAAAAAACTTCCTTAGATAGAACAACAGAGAGAAAGAGGAACTAGTTATTAACAAAAGTTCAAAAAGTGCATAAAGAATTTTAATTATAAAAAATAACTTAAATGCTAGCACGTCATGTTACAGGAAAATAATATTGTTTACATGTTAAATTCATGAAATTCTTAAACGAGAAATTCTTTTAACTAACCAATAAATCAGATTAACTTTAAAACACTTCACACATTAAGTTCATATAAATTTTTCATTTATATTAAAAGATGATTTTAATATCTGAAACGTGAACGGAATTTCGTAACTGCACTTAACAACAGAGATCATTGATCCAGAGCCGCATAAAAACGTGTCAAAGTTGTTAATTTTAAAACCAGAAATTAAAGTCTTGAACTTGTTTCAACTTTGCTAAGCATAAAATGATGTAGAATTTCTATCTACTTAACAAAAGGGGCCTGGTCTTTGATATGTAAAAGATATTTTATGAATTGGAAATATATCCTATATCTATCTGTACATATACCAGCCAGCCAGAAGTCTATAAATATTTCTAGCAATAAATTCCCCAACATTTGCTCTCTGCTGAGAAATTATCTTCTGGTTTGGATGAAGGAAAATATCTAACATATCCCAAGCCATTGTGTGGGTGTCGCCAACTTTTTATGCGCCTTTGATTTCCCAACTTGACGTCACACAAATTTCTTACGCACTATTTTTAGGCACTTTCCTCTTGATTTAAATACGTAAAAAACGTATTTGGATATATGTGGGAAAAATGGAAAATTAGCTAGTTGAACTTGACAGAGAAATTTAAGTATCTTACTTTCGTTATGCAAATAATTGTCAACACCTTTCATTGATTAAAAGCCAATCACACAAATGAGTCAACATGGCCAAGGCCACCGGAATGTATCTGTATCTTGTAATTGTATCTATGTGTGGGTCACTGCAGTTTGTTTACATTTTGCAGGTGAAACGCCCCAGTTCCCTCTGACGTCACAATGATTCGATTGAATTACATTCCACCCACCGCCCACTATGCCACCCCTTGTCAATTACCTGTTCCGCCGCGACACGTGATGTTAATTTTTCCCTTTGCGTTTTTGTATTTATTGTGTCTGGGGAAAATCTCTAATTCCCCCGTGGCAATTTTCAATGTGCAAATTGAGTTTGCCGTTTTGGGATAGCATCTCCATTTCGCCAAAAAGAAATCCCCTTTTTAGCTGCTAACAAAGTAGCACTAGTAAGTAGTTTGCACTTGAACTAGGCATAGTTAATTTGGCGAAAAGTGTGCCTTTTGTGGATAAGCAACTTGTTCGTAAAAATGCAAATGAATTGACTTCATTGAACTACCCGAGTTTGCTTTCGAATTGGGGGAAAATCGGGAAAAGGGGGTGGTAGTGTAAACAAATTCTAAGTAATGTTTCCCCACTTATTTTCTGAGTTACGTTAAATATTCAAAGGGATTCCGGTGCTAAGTCTACAGTAAAATCAATAAAAAGTCTTAGTTAATATGATATAAAGCAGAGATACCAAATCAATATTAATAATAAGTTCAAATATTTCATACCTAAGGGAAGTTGTCTTTCATGTTTTGATAGATGATAAAGCGGCATTACCACTAACTAAAAGTCCAAACCTAAGAACTTTGATAAACAAACAAATATCTCATACATTGTTTCGTTTGATTTCTACCGCCCTACTTGAGAACTTCCTACCATTTTATTTTGGATCAGGGTCTATAAGTTTAAGTGGCAGTAATACCCATGAAATCATTCCATCTACTTATCAGTTGTTGCCAAGGCAATCGTTAGTAGTTCTATCAGCCAATCAATAGATCTTCGAATACAACTCAAATAAAAGGATAATACTTTTACTTTCTGACAAAAAAAAACTTGGAAATTTCTCACGATTCACCAAAGTACGTGACTTTTTTTCAATTTTAACATTTTATTTGCCATTTGAATGTAAGGCAGAATTTTAACTACTTATAACTAAAGCAGAAAGGCTTGATCGGGGGGTTTTTTCCAGATTTGTGGGTAGATACCTGGAAGTACTTTGCGGTTGGGGAAACTTATGATCGGGAATTCAACTTGAAAAGAGTGTGGGATCATGCCATAAATAAGTGTGTAGATCGTGTATTTTATGAATCGAATTTGTTTATGGCCCATGTTGACATTTGGCACGTTCCAGTGTCTCATCAAATTTACGCTTAACTCAGCACAAAGCTTTTCCCCCATCGAAAACGGAATAACATGTGGAGAACACGGTTCTCTATAGATAGTTCAGTTCCAAAAACGCATGGTGCAGTCCCTAATTAATCATTGTTGACTGTCAAAACATTCGGAGGGGAAGTGTTAAGACTAGGGGGCTTACAACCCCTGAGTTTTGCCCTTTTACCGTAAGAGGGGAATGCACTGATTGACTGAGTGCACCATTTTCAAATTAACCCATTGACACAGAATTGACATGAAAAGCGGCTTAGAAAATGTTCGCCTCTCCCTTTTTACTCTTATGAATTTATGCCATTTCTACACAGTTTGTTTTTCTTTCTAAGAAACTTATTCATTATACACTTATTTATGTGCAAACATTTTGTATATATTTATGGTTGACGCTCATTAGAACATTTTCGGTTTAAACTTTGACGTCAAAAAATATATTCCATAATGCTCAACAAGTTTCTTGAATGTTTTTCTGCTAATCTTTTTGATTTGTTGTACGGTTTTCAATTTCTCGTGACAAGTAAACCCTATATTAGACTTCAAAAGTATATATTTATGGCGCCAAGCAGATCATATTTTTTACAGTTTATTTAACAGGAAATATATTGGGAGAATAAATTTAAAAAAAAATTAAGCATAATACTTATGTTTTGTATTAGTTAGTATTATTAAAAAAGGTTAAAAATATTGTATTAAATTTCTAATATTTTAACTATAAAAACTTCTAAAAATAAATATATAATAAGCTTGGTCCTGCTATTATTTTCTTGACATTTTTAAATTATTGAATTGGTTTTCAAAATATAAAAATGTTTTTCGCACAAAATTCCCACATTATTAAACGTACATATACATGATTCGTATTTCTGTTTTCAAATATTTTCCTATTTTTCCCTCTGCCGGGTTATTTATCACTTTCTTCGCCTATTTCATATACATTCTTGTTTTCTGTTTCATTTCGCTGTTTGAAAAGTCAGTGGCTTTCAAACTGCATTCAAAAGACCGGGTGAAACTCAAACTTACCCGCCGAAAAAAACAAATACACGTGCTTTGTTTTTGCTTTCGCAGCTTCCCACTTGAATACTTGAACTTGAATTGTCCTTTGACAGAGCGGGAAAGGGGAGGGCTCTCTTTTGTTTTCTTCCTGTTTCTTATTTTGCACAAAGAAAGTGCACGTAATTATATTAAAATATACAGCAGCAGACAAAATTACAGTTCACATTCACGCACAGACAGCACACCGTTACATGGACATGTACGAAAAAATCAGTGGTTTATTCCGATGGAATCCTGCTGCGGATTTTTGGAACAGAACCGCACGCCTCGAATTCGCAAAAACGACTGATAGCGTTGATATAGACGGGCCTCCCTCGTCGACGTCGACGTTTGCAGAGGCAGAGCGGCAGAAAAGCACTCGAAAAACACCCATACACAGAGAGAACATTTCTAAATTCTATAATTTTACAAGTTCATTTTGTTGTTTGAAATTCGGAAAACTATTTTCTTCATCATTACAATTGAAATCCAAATATAAAAAAAAATAGGAAATTAAAACAATTTTTTTTTTTTTCTAATTAAAATGTTTAGAAAACCCTATTTTTTTTTTTTTAAAGTCTTTACATTGAAAATATATATATCTTTACCAAGGTCGTCTGTGTTTTTGTGCATCTACTTTTTTCCAGTGTATTGTAGTACGTTGTTTTTGCTGTGGGAAATTTACGCTCATGTTCTTGTTCTCTCTTTCATCTCCCCTCTGCTGGTGTTGTTGTTGTTGCTGTGCTTTCATCTTACAGTAAATTGTTGTTGTTGCGGTTACGGTTTATGCTTAAGTTCTAAACGCGCTTTAAATACGATAAACGCTACGTTGACGTCACAAATATTGGGAAAATTCAAATGCAGAGAGTGGAATTTCATCACGTCACACTACTCCAAAATGAGTGGGAGTAGGAAGGGTGAAAGGACAGGAATAGGCAGGATGCTGCTTGGCATTGTCCTTTGCAGAGGACGCGCAGCTTCTTTTAGCGCACTTTATAACGGCTTACGCAAGCAACGTAAGCTTATCACGTAATATTTTGAAGTAAGCTAAAGGATAAAAACTGATTTCATCAGATGTTGAAGAAAGGTGAAAGGACATTTCATAGAATCCTTGAATTATTGCTTAGTACTTAAGGAAACAGAAAACTTTATTAAACCTTTGGTTTTTCCTTAGATTATCAAAAAGTACTTATATTAAATTATTCGCTTTAAAAAAACATTAAACATCAATTCCATTTCACTTTTAATTTATTTAGATTTGAATTAACGGAACGTGTTCTGAGTCAGGAAATTCAAAAATTATATCTGGAACTGATCATATAAATTAAGTTTAATTTAACTTCAGATAAACCACCAAAAATAAAACTCAGTATCAAGTATAAATATGGAAATCAATTTGTAATGCTTTTGATTATCAAGTTAATTTTTTGATTTAATGTTGGTTAAAAGAAAAGGTACTGAAAATAAATAGAAACCCTTCCGATTCAAAGAATATTATATAGTTTAGCATAAAATTTATTTGGTTCCATTCTTTTATTTCTTCTTCAATATAAGCAACACAACTTCCGGCCACTCAGCTTATTTAAAATATTGATGTATATATATCTTGTATATATTGAATTCATTTAGCTTAAGTGTATATATATTCTTTAGGTTGAGTTATTTAAATAATTGAAACGGTAGTTAGTTTGTGGTGTCTTTCTTTCGATAGAGTTAACTACGAGTACTTGCCCTTTAAACTGGAACTGGTCTCATTGAGTTGTGATTGCATCAAAAACTTGCATTTTTCCTTTGGTTAACATTTCACTTTTCATCTCGCCCTCCCGCTTACTTTGCTAGACATTATGATATAGTTGTAACATATTTAAAGCATTCAATTGTCATCTTATTCGAGTCTACATTCCAAATTTCTCTGCCTCACTTCGACTTTGACTGAGATTCAGTTGGTTCTGTATTGAAGCCACAGAATTTCCATTTGGCCTGAAACAGCTTGAAGAGATTTGTGTACTTTCCGAGTATATTGGCAAGATCATCATGGTTACTGGTGGCAGCGTTGTTGCACAGCATTCCGCTTAAGTAACTGGCTATGTTGGCGATATCAACGCCATAAGGATGGAGCACCAGATAGGCGGAGGCTAAAGCAATTATCTTGGCCTCTGATAGGACAAGGGATTTGAAGGTTATCTGAAATAAAGATGAGAAAGTAAAGGGATAAGTAAGTACGTTAAAATAGCTAAACAAATCTCAACTCACATCTTCTCCTGGCGATTTCGGAGTGCCCTCCTTGCTGGATTTGTTCACAGTCTCCTCATTATTAGACTTTGAACTATCTTCTATAATTGACTCAATTTCTTTGATTTCCGTAGAATCCTTAGCAGGCTCTTGCTTTTCATCGTCCTCGATCTCATGAATCTCCACTACACCGCTTTGGTGCTCTATGATGCGCACATCATCGTCTACTTTATCGATATCTATTATTTCCGGTTCCGGTTGTGGCTGTTGCCGGATAATTTCCGCCTCTTCCTGACTACATGAGTCTCCGCTGCTGCAATCTAGATTTGACGCGTTAGAAGCATTTGAGGCTGCGGTACTATTTGCCTCTTTGTCCTTTAACTTGTCAACCGTCTCCTTGATCTTGGTCTTCAAGAGAAGTTGCTTGACGCCGGCATCTTTGAGATTCCGCTCCAGCTGCTCAATGATCTTTGTGTCCTTCTGTTCGCGTAGCTTCGTCTGGAGCAGCTGAGTTTGCATGTTACGAATAGTTTCCTGAAGAACCTTTATCTGTTTCTCACGCTGGACATAATCACTGCGCTCCAGGGTCATCTCATGTCGAATGGCCTCCAGTTGACAACGCAGTGAGTCGTTCTCGTCCTGATAGTTAGTTGGATTTAGTAGATGCTTCTAAGTTTTAATTGTGACTTTTATTACCTTTAAACCCTCACTGTCATAGCGAATTCGCTTGGCGCTGGGTCCGCGTCTCTCGTAGTCACGCTCATCGTCTGAGATTTCCATTTCATCATCGTCGGTGATCTGGACAGTTCGAAGTTCCTGTATGGCATGCGAAAAGAACCTTAATTAATTTTCCATTTCGACTATTTGAAGGGGTTCTTTTTGGTTTCTGTTCCATTGCTTACAAAATTATATATAAACTATAACCTAGCTATAAAATTTGTGTATTTAAAGAATGCATCAAATTTGTTTCCTGTTTAACGACTCTGTTCTGGTCCGCTTACTTACCTCGCCACATATTCAAAAAGTTTTAGAATTCGTTTCGATTAATTTCTTTTTGCTATTAATAATTAATTTGTATTTGTTGCACAAATTATGTTTCTCAGCAGCAAAGTGTTTTAGTTCTTCCTTTTGCTATTTACCACAACCAATCGATTTCACTGAGTGCCCATTAAAGCCTCAATATTTTGCTATTAAATTGCAATTCCAATTGAACATTGAAGGATTGTTTGACACTCAGCTAAAGTTTACGTTTAGTTCAAAGTATTTAAAGCTTATTGGAAATGTTATGCAAATGCTTAGTTAAAAATGGATAAAGTCCATAAACAAATGATATTAAAGCGAAGAAAATATAGACTAAAGCATTACAGATAAAGAGAGCAAAAGCTATAAATGTGAAAAGACCTGATAGAAAAAGACTTATGAGGGATTATGAATAGGAAACTGTCTAAAATATTGGATTAACTACAAAGAATAAACTTTTCAAGAACTTAAAAATAAATTCTAAACAGTTTCCATTGCAATAATCTTATTTTTATTACTAACTCTACATAAGTTAAATGATAAGTTAACCAATTTCTTCACTTGCAAATTACATCTACATTAAAATATTTATTTTGTTTTAATTTTATTAAATGACATCACAAACTAATATGGGAATTTCGATAATCATAAGTATAAACAACTAAATGAAGTATTAATGCACGGGACAAATACGGGGAATTAACAATTAATCAAGAGCAATTAGCAGCTATAAGCGTCAGCAATCAAATCGAACATTATGATTATATAGGAAGGGTAAATAATGGGCGACATGCAGACTGAAACTGATAACACAAAAACATGAGTTAGTTTAATGGTTAAAACAACTACAGGAATACCACAACAACAACGACAACATCAACAAGAACGGATACAACGGATATGAAATTATTGGACAGTAAATGACATTTGATTTTTGAATACACATTTTGCAACATCTTTGAGGTTGTTCGTATTTGATTACTTGAACATTTTAGTACGTACCGTGGCTAACTTCTTCCATTGATCGATGTTTTTTCTTTGGGCTTTGGTGAAATGGTCCCAAACCTTCTTGTGACTAGCGGCATTGAACACTTTTTCAATCTGAGTGACTGAACAATAATGCAATAATATATAATAATATTAAGGGAGGACAGAGGGTATTTTTTTTGTTTTTGTTTTTTTTTTCAGTTTTGCTCTTCACCTTTGTCAAACTAGACTTGTTCATTTTGAGAATAAAATGAGTGAGAAATGAAAAATTGAATTAAACTACAGGAGAGACCCTCGCATAGCAATTATTTATATGTAAAATAGTTACGGTTATTTAAGGTTTATATATTATTAGGTACAATCTAGAGAGAATACAACAGCGTGATTACCTATCTTTATGTTTGTCCAAGGAGTCTGAGAGTTTTATCTTTTTGGATCTACAAAGTAAGTTTAGTCCTTTACTATACCAACGGATTTCTTGAATTTTCTCTCTGCCTTGCAGCTTACAAACCTTTGGGCCAAATAAGACTTAAGACTTTTGTGTTGGTGTCGAGACACAGTGAAAGTGAGTGAGAATCAGCCGCACAGTGGAACGAATCAGTGAATCGGGCGATCAACGTGGTGCATCACAGAATCGTTAATTAACTTAGCTGCAGCAACTATATCTTACACGAGGAATAGACTGATTTGTATACCTTGTTTTCAAATTCTTGGTTATATAATATTTTAAGTTATAACTTTAATCTTCTTTATAATGTGAATATTACCTTTATATTTTCTAGTTAGATCTGCTTTAGTTTGAATCTATTTAATCAAAGGCAAACGGTGTTGTCAAGGCCTGATTTCATGATGATAATTTTAGTTTAATGTGTTAAAATGATATTCTATATTAAGTAAACCTCGATGATTGCCCCATCCAATGACTTTGGCTGTGCGTCGGCTTTGGGCATCGTCCTTTTTGGCTGGGCTTTACCTGATCCTGTTTGGATTCTTTGGGCTTGCTCCTTCGACTTTGGCGAGCAAATTTTAGACGGTAAATTCTTATATGGAGTTTTGGCATTTAACAATTCGATGACTATATTTGCTAAAGAGTGTGTTGGTTGGGTGGGCATAAGGTGTAGGTTTATGTGTGTATGTATGTGTTTGGGTGTGTAGTACGCTGGTAGATTGTTCAGATATACAGACGCTAAAAGGCTAACCCGGGCGCAACGAAAACAGAAAAATAGAATTTCAAAGTGGGAGCGGCACCTAAATTCCCGTCTAGAGCTAGAGCTAAGAAAGCTGGTCTTCTGCCCTTAAAGGCCGAAATACTTACATTGCGTGGACATGGTGCCCATTTGATTGCGATAGCTGTCTCTAGCCTTCTTAAGGTCCTCCTCCAGTTGCAGTTTGTCGGCATGAAGTCTTCGCACATGGGCATGAGTGCTCTGGATCATCGAGTAGAAGACATTGGCATTGCGTTTGGTGCAATCTCCACGTTCTAGCCAGGCGGTGATCGTCTGAATGGCCTTCACGAAAGTCTCGTTGGTGCGTAGGTGCTCCGCCACGGCCGTGGCCTCATGATCCGTATAGTGTGGTATTGGTGGCGGCGACTGCGATCGCATCCTGTCAATCGACATGCGCTCACGATGACGCTGTTCCCTTTGATGCTGCCTTTGCCTGCATTCGTAATCGTATTGATCATCCCGTGCCTGGGCATAGTCCACATGCAAGCGCCCGAAGTTGGGTGGCTCATTTAGCGCCGATATACGCAATCTATAACCAGATAAGTAGATGGCTCTATCTATTGCTCCCTCCTGGCGGTAGCGTATATGGCAGAAGTTCTTCTTGGACATGCGCAACGTAGTGATTTCACCGCAAGACTCGAAAATCTCGCGTATCACCTCCTCGGTTATGTTTTCCGGCAGTCCACCCACAAATACTGTCCGGCAGCCAGGAGGTCGCTCCCTTATTGTGGGTGGTGGAGCATTCGGATTGGGTGGAAACAGGATGCAGTTCTTGGTCTTGATGACCTCCTTCAGACCAGCTGGTGTAACGCCATCTGAGGGATAGTTTTGATAGAGATACATTTTCTTCTTGTTTGGTTTTCTTACCAGCACTAAGTGATCCTTCTAGACCGGCTCCTGCTTCTGTGGTCATTCCTGCGGCTGCTGCCGCTGCATAGTGCATCTGTTGCATTTGCTGCATGGCCGCTGCCATCATAGCTGTGGGATCCATTAGCATTTGGGCATTGGCGGAATTGCCTCCTGAATTTGCTGATGAGTTTCCACCTCCTGTTGATGATGCACTTCCCGGGGCAGGAGCCCCACCCGCCTGGGCAGCCGGAAAATAGAGATATCCAGGTGGCGTGTGCATCAAGCCATTGAGATATAGTTGCGCCGAATCGGGTAGTGTAAGCGATGAGGAGGCCTGCATTTTGGGTTCCTTAGGAACCGTCGTTGAGCTTACATCTGTTGAATGCTCATTTTCATTTTCCAGATCCATGGGCGCACTTCCCTGCGGTTGCTGTTGTGGTTTTACCATCTTATTTTGGTTTTGCTTGGGTGGCGAGGAGGGATTTCCCACGATCGAGGTTGTCGTGGCAGCTGTGGAAATTGCGGCCGCAAGTTGGTTGAGGAAATTTGGGTGATTTGGCAAACTGACGCCATTCGGCATGGTCCCAAAGAGCGGTACTAAAAATAAGAATAAATGAAATATTTCGATTTATAGTCAAGAGGAAAGGCCCAAGCGAAGCCGGTAGCAAAACAAAATAGCCAATCAGCTGAGAGACCCAAATTTTCGATAGCACCAGAAAACTGGGGGTGGCAGGGCTCCAAAATGGCGTAAGTACCCCGCTGATAAAAGTTACTTTATACTAAAATACGGCGGTCCCTGACTTTTCTGAATAGTTATTTAGCTTTCATTTGTTTTGCTACACATATTGAGGGCTTTTTTAACTCATTATCTTATCACTTACGCATATTAACGCCCCAATAATTGTACGACAGGTAGTGGTAAAAAAATAATTATTCTTAGAGATAAACGATTGCTTGCATATGGTCACCCTGCGATATATATCGAGTACTACCAGTTTTTTCTTTGGCGTTGCCAGACTTCTATCTATGATTCATCAGCTGTCGTCAGTTTTTAGAGAAAAACAAAACGTAGTTGTGTGAAATTAGTGCAAATTTTTGGTGATTATAGTTGGATAAAGCACTCGACATGTCGGTTAATACGGCCCACGCCAACAATGGCGTGCTCATCCATGCGGGAGAGTAGTAAGTAAATACTGATATTTTGACACTAAAATCGGGACAGCAATTTCCGCATTTTTAATAATCATCATAAAATTAAAAATATTATAAAATTATGACGGGGAATTTAAATACGAACTCAACAAGATATAACATTCCATGGTACGATCAACATTAGCTTTGTAATGAGGAAAATACTGATATTTTGAGACACATATCGGGACAGAGCGATTTTCGCATTTTTGGAAAGGGGTAACATCATAAAAATTTACGAAAAATCTGAAAAAATGCACTTTTTGAGTGTGGTACACAGTTCGACGGGGAATTTAAATACGAACTCAACAAGATATAACATTCCATGATACGATCAACATTGGCTTTGTAATGAGGAAAATTCTGATATTTTGAGACACATATCGGGACAGAGCGATTTTCGCATTTTTGGAAAGGGGTAACATCATAAAAATTTACGAAAAATCTGAAAAAATGCACTTTTTGAGTGTGGTACACAGTTCGACGGGGAATTTAAATACGAACTCAACAAGATATAACATTCCATGGTACGATCAACATTAGCTTTGTAATGAGGAAAATACTGATATTTTGAGACACATATCGGGACAGAGCGATTTTCGCATTTTTGGAAAGGGGTAACATCATAAAAATTTACGAAAAATCTGAAAAAATGCACTTTTTGAGTGTGGTACACAGTTCGACGGGGAATTTAAATACGAACTCAACAAGATATAACATTCCATGGTACGATCAACATTGGCTTTGTAATGAGGAAAATACTGATATTTTGAGACACATGTCGGGACAGAGCGATTTTCGCATTTTTGGAAAGGGGTAACATCATAAAAATTTACGAAAAATCTGAAAAAATGCACTTTTTAAGTGTGGTACACAGTTCGACGGGGAATTTAAATACGAACTCAACAAGATATAACATTCCATGGTACGATCAACATTGGCTTTGTAATGAGGAAAATACTGATATTTTGAGACACATGTCGGGACAGAGCGATTTTCGCATTTTTGGAAAGGGGTAACATCATAAAAATTTACGAAAAATCTGAAAAAATGCACTTTTTGAGTGTGGTACACAGTTCGACGGGGAATTTAAATACGAACTCAACAAGATATAACATTCCATGGTACGATCAACATTGGCTTTGTAATGAAGAAAATACTGATATTTTGAGACACATATCGGGACAGAGCGATTTTCGCATTTTTGGAAAGGGGTAACATCATAAAAATTTACGAAAAATCTGAAAAAATGCACTTTTTGAGTGTGGTACACAGTTCGACGGGGAATTTAAATACGAACTCAACAAGATATAACATTCCATGGTACGATCAACATTGGCTTTGTAATGAGGAAAAATACTGATATTTTGAGACACATGTCGGGACAGAGCGATTTTCGCATTTTTGGAAAGGGGTAACATCATAAAAATTTACGAAAAATCTGAAAAAAATGCACTTTTTGAGTGTGGTACACAGTTCGACGGGGAATTTAAATACGAACTCAACAAGATATAACATTCCATGGTACGATCAACATTGGCTTTGTAATGAGGAAAATACTGATATTTTGAGACACATGTCGGGACAGAGCGATTTTCGCATTTTTGGAAAGGGGTAACATCATAAAAATTTACGAAAAATCTGAAAAAATGCACTTTTTGAGTGTGGTACACAGTTCGACGGGGAATTTAAATACGAACTCAACAAGATATAACATTCCATGATACGATCAACATTGGCTTTGTAATGAGGAAAATTCTGATATTTTGAGACACATATCGGGACAGAGCGATTTTCGCATTTTTGGAAAGGGGTAACATCATAAAAATTTACGAAAAATCTGAAAAAAATGCACTTTTTGAGTGTGGTACACAGTTCGACGGGGAATTTAAATACGAACTCAACAAGATATAACATTCCATGGTACGATCAACATTGGCTTTGTAATGAGGAAAATACTGATATTTTGAGACACATATCGGGACAGAGCGATTTTCGCATTTTTGGAAAGGGGTAACATCATAAAAATTTACGAAAAATCTGAAAAAATGCACTTTTTGAGTGTGGTACACAGTTCGACGGGGAATTTAAATACGAACTCAACAAGATATAACATTCCATGGTACGATCAACATTGGCTTTGTAATGAGGAAAATACTGATATTTTGAGACACATATCGGGACAGAGCGATTTTCGCATTTTTGGAAAGGGGTAACATCATAAAAATTTACGAAAAATCTGAAAAAATGCACTTTTTGTGTGTGGTACACAGTTCGACGGGGGAATTTAAATACGAACTCAACAAGATATAACATTCCATGGTACGATCAACATTGGCTTTGTAATGAGGAAAATACTGATATTTTGAGACACATATCGGGACAGAGCGATTTTCGCATTTTTGGAAAGGGGTAACATCATAAAAATTTACGAAAAATCTGAAAAAATGCACTTTTTGTGTGTGGTACACAGTTCGACGGGGAATTTAAATACGAACTCAACAAGATATAACATTCCATGGTACGATCAACATTGGCTTTGTAATGAGGAAAATACTGATATTTTGAGACACATATCGGGACAGAGCGATTTTCGCATTTTTGGAAAGGGGTAACATCATAAAAGTTTACGAAAAATCTGAAAAAATGCACTTTTTGAGTGTGGTACACAGTTCGACGGGGAATTTAAATACGAACTCAACAAGATATAACATTCCATGGTACGATCAACATTGGCTTTGTAATGAGGAAAATACTGATATTTTGAGACACATATCGGGACAGAGCGATTTTCGCATTTTTGGAAAGGGGTAACATCATAAAAATTTACGAAAAATCTGAAAAAATGCACTTTTTGTGTGTGGTACACAGTTCGACGGGGAATTTAAATACGAACTCAACAAGATATAACATTCCATGGTACGATCAACATTGGCTTTGTAATGAGGGAAAATACTGATATTTTGAGACACATGTCGGGACAGAGCGATTTTCGCATTTTTGGAAAGGGGTAACATCATAAAAATTTACGAAAAATCTGAAAAAATGCACTTTTTGAGTGTGGTACACAGTTCGACGGGGAATTTAAATACGAACTCAACAAGATATAACATTCCATGATACGATCAACATTGGCTTTGTAATGAGGAAAATTCTGATATTTTGAGACACATATCGGGACAGAGCGATTTTCGCATTTTTGGAAAGGGGTAACATCATAAAAATTTACGAAAAATCTGAAAAAATGCACTTTTTGAGTGTGGTACACAGTTCGACGGGGAATTTAAATACGAACTCAACAAGATATAACATTCCATGGTACGATCAACATTGGCTTTGTAATGAGGAAAATACTGATATTTTGAGACACATATCGGGACAGAGCGATTTTCGCATTTTTGGAAAGGGGTAACATCATAAAAATTTACGAAAAATCTGAAAAAATGCACTTTTTGAGTGTGGTACACAGTTCGACGGGGAATTTAAATACGAACTCAACAAGATATAACATTCCATGGTACGATCAACATTGGCTTTGTAATGAGGAAAATACTGATATTTTGAGACACATATCGGGACAGAGCGATTTTCGCATTTTTGGAAAGGGGTAACATCATAAAAATTTACGAAAAATCTGAAAAAATGCACTTTTTGAGTGTGGTACACAGTTCGACGGGGAATTTAAATACGAACTCAACAAGATATAACATTCCATGGTACGATCAACATTGGCTTTGTAATGAGGAAAATACTGATATTTTGAGACACATATCGGGACAGAGCGATTTTCGCATTTTTGGAAAGGGGTAACATCATAAAAATTTACGAAAAATCTGAAAAAATGCACTTTTTGTGTGTGGTACACAGTTCGACGGGGAATTTAAATACGAACTCAACAAGATATAACATTCCATGATACGATCATCTTTGGCTTTGTAATGAGGAAAATACTGATATTTTGAGACACATATCGGGACAGAGCGATTTTCGCATTTTTGGAAAGGGGTAACATCATAAAAATTTACGAAAAATCTGAAAAAATGCACTTTTTGAGTGTGGTACACAGTTCGACGGGGAATTTAAATACGAACTCAACAAGATATAACATTCCATGGTACGATCAACATTGGCTTTGTAATGAGGAAAATACTGATATTTTGAGACACATATCGGGACAGAGCGATTTTCGCATTTTTGGAAAGGGGTAACATCATAAAAATTTACGAAAAATCTGAAAAAATGCACTTTTTGAGTGTGGTACACAGTTCGACGGGGAATTTAAATACGAACTCAACAAGATATAACATTCCATGGTACGATCAACATTGGCTTTGTAATGAGGAAAATACTGATATTTTGAGACACATGTCGGGACAGAGCGATTTTCGCATTTTTGGAAAGGGGTAACATCATAAAAATTTACGAAAAATCTGAAAAAATGCACTTTTGAGTGTGGTACACAGTTCGACGGGGAATTTAAATACGAACTCAACAAGATATAACATTCCATGATACGATCAACATTGGCTTTGTAATGAGGAAAATTCTGATATTTTGAGACACATATCGGGACAGAGCGATTTTCGCATTTTTGGAAAGGGGTAACATCATAAAAATTTACGAAAAATCTGAAAAAATGCACTTTTTGAGTGTGGTACACAGTTCGACGGGGAATTTAAATACGAACTCAACAAGATATAACATTCCATGGTACGATCAACATTGGCTTTGTAATGAGGAAAATACTGATATTTTGAGACACATATCGGGACAGAGCGATTTTCGCATTTTTGGAAAGGGGGTAACATCATAAAAATTTACGAAAAATCTGAAAAAATGCACTTTTTGAGTGTGGTACACAGTTCGACGGGGAATTTAAATACGAACTCAACAAGATATAACATTCCATGGTACGATCAACATTGGCTTTGTAATGAGGAAAATACTGATATTTTGAGACACATATCGGGACAGAGCGATTTTCGCATTTT